AGTGACACAAAGACTCCATATCACAGTGACACAATACGCCATATCACATTGAGACAATACGCCATATCACAGTGACACAAGACTCCTATCACAGTTACACAATACGCCATATCACAGTGACACAAGACTCCTTTTCACAGTGACACAATACGCCTTATCACAGTGACACAAGACTCCATATAACAGTGGCACAAGACTCCTTATCACAGTGACACAAGACTCCTTATCACAGTGACACAAATCTCCTTATCAAAGTGACACATTACGCCTGATCACAGTGACAAAAGATTCCTTATCACAGTGACGCAAAACGCCATATCACAGTGACACAATACTCCTTATCACAGTGACACACGACTCCTTATTACAATGACACTATACGTCATATCACAGTGACACAAGACTTCTGATCACAGTGACACAAGAGTCTTATCACAGTGACACAAATCTCCTTATCACAGTGACACAAAGACTCCATATCACAGTGACACAATACGCCATATCACAGTGACAAAATACGCCATATCACAGTGACACAATACTCCTTATCACAGTGACAGAATACGCCATATTACAGTGACACAAAGACTCTTTTTCACGGTGACAAAATAGGCCATATCACAGTGACACAAGACTCCTTATCACAGTAACACAAGACTCCTTATCACAGTGACACAACACACCTTATCACAGTGACACAATACTCCTTATCAGTGACAAAAGACTCCATATCACAGTGAGACAATACGTTATATAACAGTGACACAAATCTCCTCATCACAGTGACACAATGCGCCTTATCACAGTGACACAAGACTTCATATAACAGTGACAGAAGACTCCTTATCACAGTGACACAAGACTCCTTATCACAGTGACACAAGACTCCTTATCACAGTGACACAATACGTCATGTTACAGTGACACAAGACTCCTTATCACAGTGACACAAGACTCCTTATCACAGTGACACAAGACTCCTTATCACAGTGACACAATACGTCATGTTACAGTGACACAAGACTCCTTATCACAGTGACACAAGATTCCTTATCACAGTGACACAATACGTCATATCACAGTGACACAATACGCCATATCACAGTGACACAAGACTCCTTATCACAATGACACAAGACTCCTTATCACTGTGACACAATACGCCATATCACAGTGACACGATACGCCATATCACAGTGACACAATACGCTCTATCACAGTGACACAAATCTCCTTATCACAGTGACACAAGACTCCTTATCACAGTGATACAAGACTCCTATCACAGTGACACAATACGCCATATCACAGTGACACAATACGCCATATCACAGTGACACAAATCTCCATATCACAGTGACACAAGACTCCTTTTCACAGTGACACAATACGCCATATCACAGTGACACAATACGCAATATCACAGTGACACAATACGCCATATCACAGTGACACAGGACTCCTTATCACAATGACACAGTACGCCATTTAACATTTCCACAATAGGCAATATTACAATGACACGTTAGGCCATAGTACAGAGACACTTTACGCCTTATCCAAAAGAAACAATAGGCCACATCACATTATACACTGACACAATATAATGCGTCGTCACATTGTACTCACCCACTCACATATGACAATAGGCCACATCACATTATACACTGACACAATATAATGCGTCGTCACATTGTATTCACCCACTCACATCTCAGAATAGGCCACATCACATTATACACTGACACAATATAATGTGTCGTCACATTGTACTCACCCACTCACATCTCACAATAGGCAACATCACATTATACACTGACACAATATAATGTGTCGTCACATTGTACTCACCCACTCACATTTCACAATAGGCAACATCACATTATACACTGACACAATATAATGTGTCGTCACATTGTACTCACCCACTCACATCTCACAATAGGCCACATCACATTATACACTGACACAATATAATGCGTCGTCACATTGTACTCACCCACTCACATCTCACAATAGGCCACATCACATTATACACTGACACAATATAATGTGTCGTCACATTGTACTCACCCACTCACATATGACAACAGGCCACATCACATTATACACTGACACAAAATAATGCGTCGTCACATTGTACTCACCCACTCACATCTCACAACAGGCCACATCACATTATACACTGACACAAAATAATGCGTCGTCACATTGTACTCACCCACTCACATCTCAGAACAGGCCACATCACATTATACACTGACACAATATAATGTGTCGTCACATTGTACTCACCCACTCACATCTCACAATAGGCCACGTCACATAATACACTGACACAATATAATGCGTCGTCACATTGTACTCACCCACTCACATATGACAATAGGCCACATCACATTATACACTGACACAATATAATGTGTCGTCACATTGTACTCGCCCACTCACATATGACAACAGGCCACATCACATTATACACTGACACAATATAATGCGTCGTCACATTGTACTCACCCACTCACATCTCACAACAGGCCACATCACATTATACACTGACACAATATAATGCGTCGTCACATTGTACTCACCCACTCACATCTCACAACAGGCCACATCACATTATACACTGACACAATATAATGCGTCGTCACATTGTACTCACCCACTCACATCTCACAACAGGTCACATCACATTATACACTGACACAATATAATGTGTCGTTACATTGTACTCATCCACTCACATGTGACAATGGGCCACATCACATTATACACTGACACAATATAATGTGTCGTCACAATGCACTCACCCACTCACATATGACAATAGGCCATATCACATTATACACTGACACAATATAATGCGTCGTCACATTGTACTCACCCACTCACATGTGACAACAGGTCAGATACACATGGACGGATGTTGAACCAGAAGTCTCACATGTTGTTCGATTTAATGTAGTCTATGTGTTTTAATCTTTAAATAAGACCCACTGGTACGAATAATAATCATTACATTATTGAAATCACACATAGCCAAATTTACGTTGTTGATTGACGTAACCGATAAAAGTTCGCATCAGCCCGTGACCATATATTTGAAGCGCTCTTACTAGTTACGATCTCTTGCTTTCGTGTCAGGCTTCATTAAATATTGAAACAACACACAGCGAATTCTTAATCTAAATGTGCATGCAATGTCTTCTTTACTTTGCACGATTAGAATGAAGGACTTTTTTCTCCACTTCTGTTTAACATCCATGTTTAATTCTCTCAGAATGGACAACCTGTCGCTGACATGCATTTCCGATTAGACTGTAAAGATTTCTTTACACAAACATACAAAACAAAGTACAATCGAAGTTTTCAAGATCGTTAGCAATTGGCACAGGGGAGTTTAGCATTGTAACGAAGCAGCTGGGGCCCAATAGATTTCATTCTCCAGGCCAAGTATTGTTATCAAGCTTTTATTGCGAAAAAAACGGGTGAAAAAGAGACAAACAATATCGCGAAAATTAGCAATTGGCCAGAGGGTTAATCAATTGAGAGAGATCATTATTGCAGAGAAAGGGTGAGAGAGAACGCGCGAAAGTGGAACAATAGACCTTAAGACAATGATATACAAGTTTCTCACTTACATCCTGTTTGATGAGCTCTCGTTCGATAGCTGTTTGGTGAGGTTCTGACAGGTGTTACCGCTTGACGGTAACGCGCATACAGAGGCGATTTGAGGGCTTCGGGTTGCTATCATGTGACCTATCACTATTGAAAGCGTAATGTGTTTTCTTAGTTTTCAGTGTGAAGTGGTGTATTTACACATGAGTGCGTGAATGAATGTTGCTCAACGATATTGTCAGAAACATTGCAGCTGTACCACGACAGTATTTGCGTAATAACGTCTTGACCAGAGAAACCAGTGGTCCATTAGGGTTACGCCCAAACCGAAAGGTGTGATGACGCACAGTGTGACTGGTCATACATTTTGACAAACCATTATTCTAATTGGCTAATTTGACAAACATGGGAGAGATGGTCTGTATCATGGTGTTGGTCAAATAAGAATGCTTCAAATTGCATCATTTGTAACATTTAATATTTATGAATGTTGACGATGCCATGGTTCATGCAGTCGTATTTCATGGTTCGAGGACTTAACTGGATTAGCATGGTTGTATTTCATTGTTATCTAGGGTCAAAGGCTTCAGAAAACTTTTCAAAGTTGACACGTTCGAATCTAAAAGTGGGCATGCGTATTTGTTTAACCGCGTGTTGATATGTTCATCTCAGACTTTTCGTCATGTTGCTGATTTCGTTGCAAGAAAACTATGCAATTGTGATAGGAGCAAGAATGATCGTCGCAAATGTGGTCGTTGTAAGGGTGGTACTACAGCGGTAGCGGCAAATGTGGTCGTTGTAAGGGTGGTACTACAGCGGTAGCGGAAAATGTGGTCTTTGTAAGGGTGGTACTACAGCGGTAGCGGAAAATGTGGTCTTAGCCATGATGGCCATCTAAAGTTTAGTCGTTGCAATGGCTGAAGTAGCAAGGGTGATCGTTGCATGCGTGGTCTAAGCAACTTGATGATGGTCGTATCAAGTTTAGTCGTTGCAAGGGCGGTAGTAGCAAGGGTGTTCGTTGCAAGTGGGCTATTAGCAACTTAAGAATGGTCGTATCAAGTTTAGTCGTTGCAAGGGCGGTAGTAGCAAGGGTGTTCGTTGCAAGTGGGCTATTAGCAACTTAAGAATGGTCGTATCAAGTTTAGTCGTTGCAAGGGCTGTAGTAGCAAGGGTGTTGGTTGCTTGGGTGGTCTTAGCAAGGGCGATCGTTGCTTTAGTGATCTTATCAACTTTGTCGTATCAAGAATAGTCGCAGCAAGGGCGGTAAGATCAAGTGTGGTCGTTGTGTGGGTGGTCCCAGCAAGGGTGGCCGTATCACGTTTTGTCGAAACAAGGGTAGTCATAACAATTGTGATCATAGCAGGTATTGTCGTAACAAGGACGGTCGTAGCAAGAGAGGTCATAGTAACAATAGTCATAGTAACAGTGGTCGTAGCAAGAGTGGGCATAGTAACAGTGGTCGTAGCAAGAGTGGTCATAGTAACAGTGGTCGTAGCAAGAGTGGGCATAGTAACAGTGGTCGTAGCAAGAGTGGTCATAGTAACAGTGGTCGTAGCAAGAGTGGTCATAGTAACAGTGGTCGTAGCAAGAGTGGGCATAGTAACAGTGGTCGTAGCAAGAGTGGTCATAGTAACAGTGGTCGTAGCAAGAGTGGTCATAGTGACAGTGGTCGTAGCAAGAGTGGTCATAGTAACAGTGGTCGTAGCAAGAGTGGTCATAGTGACAGTGGTCGTAGCAAGAGTGGTCATAGTAACAGTGGTCGTAGCAAGAGTGGTCATAGTAACAGTGGTCGTAGCAAGAGTGGTCATAGTAACAGTGGTCGTAGCAAGAGTGGTCATAGTGACAGTGGTCGTAGCAAGTGTGGTCGTAACACGTGTATCATTGCAATGTTAATTCTACAAGAAGCAAGAGCGAACGTTGCAAGTGTTATTGTTGGAAGCATGATCGGACCAAGGGTGATTGTAGTAGCAGCATGGAATACATGCACGTAGCTCTACCAGTGGAAGTAGGATTAGCAGTTGCAACCACAGCAGCATTGGTAGGAGTTACACCGGTGGAGGTAATGTCCGTAAGGTATCAGGGACAAGTCCACGAAGCTCAAGCTCCAATATGGCCCATGCAACAAAGTTTTGTGAATCAAGGGTCTTAATGTGAGAAATAATACCGGATCGTGAAGATTCAGAAAGCAATCTGTCATATTAGCAGCACAATTTGTCGTGACACATTTCTGTCCAAGCATGTGTCACTTAGACGCTATAGTGTCCAACTAATCGACCACTAGAACTGTCCCTGATGAATATATTTACATGGGTCAAGCTATGGTTGTGTTGTCGAACATACTCTTGTCCGCATAATTGTCATAGTAATCTAATAAATTCACGATAGAATATTCTTCACCTCATTGATTCATAATTTACCAATACATTTTCCCCAACAGATTTAAATTACAACACACAACAGGAAAGCTTCTATTGAATATGAAAGAGCTCTCTTTTAACACAATTTTGGATAGGGCTTTGAGATGTTAGTTATTCTATAACAGAAGTCTGCGCTCGATTGCCTGGCTGTTTTGTGTCGAAATGGAAAATTACATGAGCGAACTTCAAAAGAATATGTCGCACGCCCTTGATATAATGTCATCAAGAATATGTTTCATCTTAAATGAAGAAATTCAACATAAAGACAGCTGTTCAGCTACACGATACGAATCGAATGCAGGGTCTATAATGTTATATATATCTCAATACATCTATATGGATAGGTACCGTAGGGAAGAGCGAACTGGATTATGGATGAATAGAAAAGTGTCGATAACTTTATAAAACATAAAGTACGTTTTAATCTATTTCTAAGTTTGAAACTTTGTTTGCCCGTGTCAATCTAAACTCGTGCAGAGAATATATTTTTGCACGTTTCTAAAGTAGAAGAGTGCATGTAGAAACGATATTCCTGTAGAGTTTTTTTTATTGCAAATGATCGGATGACATTTTCAGAGGCGTTATTTGTTTTTCTTCAGTCCTTTATGGAGTGCTTCAAAACAACAACATCTGTACACGGTTGAAGGAGAGGCGTAAATGGCTTATCGAACTGCCTCCTTTACCAGTGCATGGAGTTGCCTCCCTTGCCAAGTTGGCCGCGATTATGATCCTTGATCTGTCATACTCTAGAGTTTCATGGCATGTCTAAGAGTTAAGTCACTTTCTGAGGGAGGGAGTGAATGAATCTTTACGCTGAGTCAGCCATATTGCAGCTATTGATGGCGAGTCATGACACTCAGTAAGGTTATGACTAAGAAAGAAGTCGAACCCAGGACATTAGAATCCTGGCACGCCAACTGGACGCAACTCTGTAAAGTAAACTGCAGCACCATAGAAGGTCACCCTGTCCCCAACGTTCATTTGAAACATAAAATATATCCTAGATAGTTCATAGATATTTCAATGCGGTGCAAAGTACAGTACTCGGATTGGATTCTCGGGTAGCCGTGCGGGATAAGAGACTCCGCAGTCTACAGCAAATGGTGTTTTGAGTGGTCTTAATACAAAGTGGACTGATACAAACCGCAAAAGATTACCAGAATTTGCGAAAGGAAGGCTTCAGAAAAACATCGGATTTCTTTAACCCTAGGGTTACATGAAATATCATTTTAAAAAGGTTTTACAAACAAATACAAGCGTCACAAAAATCGCCGTTGACATTAACATTCATGCAATAAACAAGCAGTCATTTTGGACTCATTTATTTGAACATCGCAGGGCTAAACACGCACATATTCGTGAGAACTCGTGCATCACGAACAAGTTATGAATAGCGTGAGTCGCCAGTCGGCGTGTGGGGGAAGTCTGTTTGTCATATTCATGAGAAGTGTCAAAGATTTGTCACTGTGTGTTTCAACTGTGGGTCGTTGCATGTGCAACATTTGCTTATATCTAATGCAGTGGACGGATATGAATATTCAGCAATCAAGCAGATATCCCGAACAGTCCTGGACAGGTTTTGATCCTAAGGTACACATATGATAAAATGAAAACATGATTTGTAATGTACGCTTATTTTATCACATCATACTTAAATCTGCCTTGAATTAATTCGTTCCTGTAAATGTACACGCCCCAGAGACGAAATACTTTCAGAACGAGATACGATTGGGGCCCTATTTAGTTGGGTTTTTTTCATTTGACCGACAATTAGTTTTTCATTTCCTACGCTTGAAAAGGCTTTTTTACTTGAAATGATGAAGTACGCAAGTAAATGAGTGAAAAAGAGAAAATCTACTGTTAGCAATTTCATGACCGAAGTGGCACTTTTCACCATGTGTCTCAGCTTAAACCTTATTATTAAAGAAAGCAGCCTAACCTTTTTTATGAAAGAAAGCTGCCTTAACCTTATTAAGAAAGAAAGCTGCCTAAACCATATTATCAAAGAAAGCTGCCTAAACCATATTATCAAAGAAAGCTGCCTAAACCTTATTATCAAAGTAAGCTTCCTAAACCATATTATCAAAGAAAGCTGCCTAAACCATATTATCAAAGAAAGCAACTGTCACAAATTTATTCATGTTTAGATTCCCAAAATTAAGTCTACTAACAGATTTTAGCCTTCTTCATTTAGCCTTGTTATAAGTCGAAAACATGCAAGTGTTAAAAAGGCGTCTTATGATCATTCATATGAATATATTTGATAACTTTCATAACAACTTCTTAACTGTTACCTTAGTACCTTGTCATGGACATGACACGGGATATTATAAACACTCTGGTATTTAAAATACTGAAACATGTGCTGCAACTTTATTCTAGTAACTATTTTTACTCTATTAAGTCTTAACTAAATGATGCATTCATGTCTTTACATGTTGTGTCAACGTCGTATCGCCACACGCCACCCTCACCCAGCCTAGCCTTCTCGCCCGCCCTGGCCTTGTTCCGGACGCTCGTCTGTCTGCTTCCGTCACATAATCACACAAACGGATGCCAAGACATTTGTGACGCGTGTTTCTCAAGCTGTTTCGCAGTTCAAATATATTTGCTGACGATACACAGTACCTTATCGAACCGTATGACATGTCTTGATTTTTTTTACCGTTAAACGTTTGAAGTAATAAAAATAAATTAGAGACATAAATGTTTTACAACAACTCAGTATGCTTTACGTAGGTCCGTAAACCACGCTTACATACGTCCAATACATATATAAAAGCAATGTACTTTCGTTAGAACGGACGTTCTCAAATCTTGACGATTTCACTGAGATGACAAACTCTGGATTATCGGGGTTTCACTGTAAGCATTTGCAAAGGGACAAGGTCGTACGAGTGTGTCAAGAGATCGGACCACCATCAATCTGGTTGGATGCGGTCAATCTGGCGTATATTTTGTTCGTTAGTTTCTTTTTTGTTTAACGTCGCACTCAGCAATTTTTCAAGTAAATGGACGGTCTGTAAATAATTGAGTCTGGACCAGACAATCCAGTGATTGATACCATTAGCATTGATTCACGCAATTGGGACACGATAACATGCATCAACAAAGTCAGCATGCCGGACGCATGTAGAAATGTACACCTTTGGTTAAAATTACACAAGGTTAATTTGCAAGACTCCCCTGACTTAAACTGATGAGTCATTGCATAACTAAGGGACGCAACTCTGTACTACTGTCTGTTAAATGTTGAATAGTATAACAAAGACATATACAAGTAAATGAAACTGTCTGTGTGATGTGATGCTTCTTGTTCGCATGCAGCTGTATCCTAAAGATGTTTATCACAATAACAATTTATAGGACGTATTTGAGACAATGTCATTTAACCATTCTCTATCGTGCTTTAAGTTTCCCTCAATCACATGTATCACTTTAATAAACATCCGACATCTTTGAAGTCGATCGACAGAATGTCGGATTCTGTAATACTTCGAAAAGTCAAATCAATGATTTGGGGGAAAATGTGGCGCCGTTAACTCAAAGCATTATTCTACTTTCTTGTTATGAATCAACGCAAGAATATTGTCGTAAAGTTGTACTTTTGATGCTGCACTATGTAATAATACGCTAGGCTATTTAAAATATACTTCACCCTCTAGGACTCAGCATTGTTAATATTCACAATATATTTGCCAAAGCGCAATACTCATAACATGGACAAGAGTAGGTTTTAAATATTGACCAAAGCATTTGTATTTTTATAGGATATTGGTCTAAGTGAATCTAACTCAAATAGCAAAAGGTTGCGTTTCTTGTGTTTTGCTTAATGTAAAATTTAAGTATTGACATTCGTGCCTGTACCCCGCCGTGTTGAACCCCGCGTTGATGGATGATTGGTCGATGGCGCCTCAGGACACCCGTACAAGTGTTAGCCGCGACTAAGTCTCCCGAAACGAAATAATAATATGTCAATACCCGTGTTTGTTCTGCAAATACTGCTTTTCAGACTTTCCCCAAACAGCAAGAGCAGCAAATCGCTTCCCGCGCCCGGAGACAAATCAGCCATTGGAAAATAGTGAAAGAAACTTTGAACTTACACCCTTGTAAAGCACACGAACTGAATTAGTGTCTAGCATTTTTTTGCAGATTACTGAAAGAAGCTTTTGTTCTTAAACGCTATTTAGCACGCGTATGGCGACCGACGAAAGCCCTGCCTTAGAGCTGTATGCATGGGTGGATTCGAAAACCAGGAAGTGTTTTCAAACACGAAACGAAAGGTCAATCACTAGTCTTCAAGGTCAGGCATTTTAAACATGGTGGGTGTTTCCATATTTACCGGCTTGGGGATCGCAAACGTGGTAAACTGTTAGACAACTTCAAATATCACTTCTTGCCGTGCTTTGGGCGTGATACAAAAAGCCTATGAAACCTCATATGTTCGGCATTCGCTGACAAAAATCAATTCCGCGTCTGGGAGCAGATGGTCTAGTGTCCAGCGAATGACCAAGCAAATACATCTCCTATTAGTCCATAGTTCATGTCAGCGTCCGTGTGTGTTTATTAAAAAT